GTGCTTTAATCAATATCCTTTCTGGCAATTTTATTTCAAAGTCTTCAACTAATTGTTTGAATCTTATTAAATTAGATGGATTACTAAAAACTTTTATAAACTCTTCAACTTGATTATTATGGACAAATTTTAAATTTTCTATGTTTGGTTTAGGAACTCCATTATGATTTACAGATGAACTTGAACTAGGAATGTCACATCTTTCTTCCATTTTCAATATGTTAATTAATGAAAAAGTTTTTGAATAAATCAATTGTAGGTAAACTTACGTTCAGATAAATTGTTACGTATACATATTTCGATATTCGTTATACGTATCACTGGTTAATCAATTGCCAATTTGGTTTTCCACGCCTGGAATTGCTACTCCGGGCGCTGAATTGTCTCTGAATTCGGTTTTATTAATTTCTAAAAAAAAACACAAACTAATTACCAATCAGATGACCTTCTTCCTATTTGTTTTCTAGAACCAAATTAAGTAAAAATATTTTATCCCATGGTAATTCGAGACAGAACTACTCCAATACAAAAGTTTCTAAATACAAAATAATATCTATCTGCGTATATCTACATATAATTGCAATCGTAATCAATTTAAAGGATGAAAAAAGTATAAGAGTATTAATGCTTCGAGGAACTATAATATTTTTAATTGGATATCAATAAAAAAAGAAAGTGCATCACAGCATTGGCATTCCGATTAATCTCTACAACGATATATGGGACGTTGTAAGGGACTCCCGAACCTCGACCTACAATTTTTATTTTATATGTAATTAGGTCTTTAACATGACTTAAAATAGAATTTTAAACAGCACTATTTTTTTTTAATAAAAAATAAAGCTATTTTGGCAACTATTATAATCACCTTTGCTATTATACCATGCAATAGGATAATATCCACTAAGGATTCTTTCATTAATATCATTGCCTTTAACATTTACAAAGTATGACAGTAACAGTATTTTTTCATATTGCATAATTTTTCAAAAAGCTTCACGAGTAAATCCATCCTTACTTCTACGAAGAAGTAATTTAAATTCATATATTTTAAGTAAAGCCACGTTGCATTTATCCAATTTTGTTAGCAGTTTAGAACATATGAGTTTTTTTTTTTTCCACAAGAAATGCTCTCAAGCACTTTTTTAATATTTATTCAGAACTAAGCCAAATTCGCATTTTTCAGGTAAAACCTTGTTGGAATAGCACGTCTGAAATCTGTGACAGGTTATGTCGATCATTGTTAAATGTAGCCAATAAAATCACAAGATCATGTGTAACTTAAAAAATTCGAGAAAACAGAAAAATCGCAAATAACATAAAATTTTACTATGATAACCACAGTTTGACTTCTAAATAAAAGTTTTCAGCACGAAATTTTAGTTTATAAGTATATTTAAATATCGAATATCAAGTAAATTAA